CCTCTGGCGTTGATGACGTATTGTGCCATTTTTGCTGCATTTTCCATCGTTTTTGCAAACATTTATGCCGGAATAGCGGCTATTTCTTCACGAATGTTGTCCTTGAGCTCTTCTACGGTCCTTGGCTTGTTAACGTAAACCTTTGACTTCAAATATCCCCACAAGAAGAAGTCAAGCGGCGTAAAATCGGGCGAACGCGGTGGCCAGTCCAAATCACCACTTTTCGACATCAAACGGCCCGGAAACAAATTCTTCAGAAAATCGATTGTTATGCGACTTGAGTGCGGTGGAGCGCCGTCTTGTTGAAACCAGAACTGCCTCATACGCTTTCGACGAATAATTGGCATCACAAAATTGGTCATCATGTCGCGATAACGCTCCTGATTGATGGTAACAGCATGGCCATTTTTCATTTCGATGACTCTTTGGGCCCATTCCAATCGACGAGGCTTGTCCGCAGGCAACACTCTTTGCGCCAATTGAATTTTGTACGGGAACAAATGCAAATCAATGCGAATAATCCGTTGTAAAGTGGGCCGAGCCATGCCCAACTGCTGAGAACAGCGTTTTTGGGATGTTTGTTTGGGATGTCGTACGGCAGCGATATTCTCGGCCGATCGCCTTGGTCGACTTTTATATGGCCTCTTCGGATTAGAAAAAGCCTTACCAGTCGAAAATTCTTCGTATAAACGCTTTACGGTGTTCTTAGAAGGCGCACTTCTCACATTTAAATTTCAGAGCGCTCGCGTGGCGTGTATTGGTTCATGGTAAAAATCTGCTTGGACTGACGCATTGTGACATCTCTGTCAAAAGTTATGGCGTTGCCAGATGGGTCCGTCGAATATGGGCAACCCTGTATGGGTCTATCTCGCTTCCTTCTCCATGTCTCAAACAAATGCACAAAGACATAATACCCTTACAACTATGTGGTGTAGGGTATAAAAATCTAACTATTCTCATGAAATCCCCTTATCTCTCTGGTATAGTACGACAAATATTAAACAATATAAAGGTTCGAAGTAAATATTTCGATCGGAGTGTCGGAGTTTATATCGCAATTGACAAAATTTTGGTAATAGTCAATATCACGGCATAAGACTGAATCTAGTCATAGTTTTGGAAAAGTTATCTCTAAGGACTCTAATTGAATCTCTTGTTGAAATCATTTTTTTCCGGAGAATTCCACTCATACCGTTGGAATCTGCAATTATTATCCATATATATATGCCCATAAACAACAAATACCACAAACAAACGTTTGAATTGTTGACATATTTATTTTTGTTTGCATATTGGAAAAATATTATTGTAAAATGTGGCATAAATACTTTGCCATTATTTAGATTTATTTTCATGGCTGGTTAATATATTCATACAAGTAAATATATATTATGTTTAGAAATCTTTGTATGTTTGTGGAAAATTTCGATTATTTTGTTTGGCTCTCAAAGATAATAAACACATTGTGGTGAAACTACAAAATTATGCAAATTTTTTTGTTTATTTTATTTGTTATATTGGAAAACCATATTTGATACAAAACATTTATTTTCCGAGAGGTGTCTGGTAAAGGAGGGAATATTTAAATTTCGTTCATTTTTTCTGCAAAATTTCAAAATTTACTTCTGAAAGGGGATAATTTTTTTTCGTTTTTTTTTTTTTTGGTGCAGCTAATTAATGTTACCTTAAAAACTTTGTGTACATCTGAGTGGGAATAAACAAATAGTATTAACTAACAATTTTGAAATTGTACAGATAACAATTGTTTGTATAAAACAACAACTTCACTTTATTTGTTTGCTGAGAACCTTCTTTCCAGAATTTATTGTATTTAGGGCTGTCATAGAAACCAATTTTGTCACTATCAGTTTTAAAAACGACAAGAAAAAATGATTTGGTGTCATGAAAATCAATATTATCGGTTTTGGTTGTCATAGAAGCCAATGTTATTGGTTTTGTTATTGGAAATAAACCAAGTTGCTTAGAGCTGTCACTTTTCATTTACTTTGGATTTTTTTAAACAATTTTTGAAGGATATTCAAAGGACTAAAAATGTGGATATTTTTAAAGATTTTTAAAGTATATTTAAAGGACTACAAAAGTGGATTTTTAAAGGATATTTAAGGGACTATAAACGTGGATTTTTTAAAGATTTTTAAAGGATATTTAAAGAACTATAAACGTGGATTTTTTAAAGATTTTTTAAAGGATATTTAAAGAACTATAAACGTGGATTTCTTAAAAATTTTTTCAAGGATATTTAAAGGACTATAAACGTGGATTTTTTAAAGATTTTTAAAGGATATTTAAAGAACTATAAAAGTGGATTTTTTAAAGGATATTTAAAGAACTATAAACGTGGATTTTTTAAAGATTTGTTAAAGGACTATAAACGTGGATTTTTTAAAGATTTGTTAAAGGACTATAAACGTGGATTTTTTAAAGAATTTTTAAAGGACTATAAACGTGGATTTTTTTAAAGAATTTTTAAAGGACTATAAACGTGGATTTTTTTAAAGAATTTTTAAAGGACTATAAACATGGATTTTTTTAAAGAATTTTTAAAGGACTATAAACGTGGATTTTTTTAAAGAATTTTTAAAGGACTATAATCGTGGATTTTTTTAAAGAATTTTTAAAGGACTATAAACGTGGATTTTTTTAAAGAATTTTTAAAGGACTATAAACGTGGATTTTTTTAAAGAATTTTTAAAGGACTATAAACGTGGATTTTTTTAAAGAATTTTTAAAGGACTATAAACGTGGATTTTTAAAGAATTTTTAAAGGACTATAAACGTGGATTTTTTTAAAGAATTTTTAAAGGACTATAAACGTGGATTTTTTAAAGAATTTTTAAAGGACTATAAACGTGGATTTTTTTAAAGAATTTTTAAAGGACTATAAACGTGGATTTTTTTAAAGAATTTTTAAAGGACTATAAACGTGGATTTTTTTAAAGAATTTTTAAAGGACTATAAACGTGGATTTTTTTAAAGAATTTTAAAGGACTATAAACGTGGATTTTTTTAAAGAATTTTTAAAGGACTATAAACGTGGATTTTTTTAAAGAATTTTTAAAGGACTATAAACGTGGATTTTTTTAAAGAATTTTAAAGGACTATAAACGTGGATTTTTTTAAAGAATTTTTAAAGGACTATAAACGTGGATTTTTTTAAAGAATTTTTAAAGGACTATAAACGTGGATTTTTTTAAAGAATTTTTAAAGGACTATAAACGTGGATTTTTTTAAAGAATTTTTAAAGGACTATAAACGTGGATTTTTTTAAAGAATTTTTAAAGGACTATAAACGTGGATTTTTTTAAAGAATTTTTAAAGGACTATAAACGTGGATTTTTTTAAAGAATTTTTAAAGGACTATAAACGTGGATTTTTTTAAAGAATTTTTAAAGGACTATAAACGTGGATTTTTTTAAAGAATTTTTAAAGGACTATAAACGTGGATTTTTTTAAAGAATTTTTAAAGGACTATAAACGTGGATTTTTTTAAAGAATTTTTAAAGGACTATAAACGTGGATTTTTTTAAAGAATTTTTAAAGGACTATAAACGTGGATTTTTTTAAAGAATTTTTAAAGGACTATAAACGTGGATTTTTTTAAAGAATTTTAAAGGACTATAAACGTGGATTTTTTTAAAGAATTTTTAAAGGACTATAAACGTGGATTTTTTTAAAGAATTTTTAAAGGACTATAAACGTGGATTTTTTTAAAGAATTTTTAAAGGACTATAAACGTGGATTTTTTTAAAGAATTTTTAAAGGACTATAAACGTGGATTTTTTTAAAGAATTTTTAAAGGACTATAAACGTGGATTTTTTTAAAGAATTTTTAAAGGACTATAAACGTGGATTTTTTTAAAGAATTTTTAAAGGACTATAAACGTGGATTTTTTTAAAGAATTTTTAAAGGACTATAAACGTGGATTTTTTTAAAGAATTTTTAAAGGACTATAAACGTGGATTTTTTTAAAGAATTTTTAAAGGACTATAAACGTGGATTTTTTTAAAGAATTTTTAAAGGACTATAAACGTGGATTTTTTTAAAGAATTTTTAAAGGACTATAAACGTGGATTTTTTTAAAGAATTTTTAAAGGACTATAAACGTGGATTTTTTTAAAGAATTTTTAAAGGACTATAAACGTGGATTTTTTTAAAGAATTTTTAAAGGACTATAAACGTGGATTTTTTTAAAGAATTTTTAAAGGACTATAAACGTGGATTTTTTAAAGAATTTTTAAAGGACTATAAACGTGTATTTTTTTTAAGAATTTTTAAAGGATATTTAAAGGACTATAAACGTGGATTTTTTAAAGAATAAAGGATATTTAAAGGACCACAAACGTGGATTTTTTTTAAGATTTTTTAAAGGACCACAAACGTGGATTTTTTAAAGATTTTTTAAAGGACCACAAACGTGGATTTTTTAAATATTTTTTAAAGGACTATAAACGTGGATTTTTTTAAAGATTTTTTTAAAGGATATTTAAAGGACCATAAACCATAAATCCGCAAAGCAGCTTTATGAGTATGTTCACAATAAAAAAATTTACTCACGCTATCTCCGGCAACTACAGTGGGTTGCTGAAATCTCTAAGAGCTTTTCTCGTCACCTTTTCTGAGCGTTCTTCGTCCAACAACACAAAAACTACCACTGCTGATGCCATCTTACTTTATTTATACCGACTTATTCCTTTTTTTATTTACTTTACTTTTACTGATATTTCAATGACAAATAAACAAACAACACATGTAAGCAACAACAGCTGTTTCGAACATTGGTTTTATTTACATTCGAAATTGACAAAACCAACTTGGTTTCATGACACCAAATGAAACCAACATTGGTTTACAAAAACGACAATAAGCAAAATTGACATGGTTTCTGTGACAGCCCTGATTATATTTTTATATCCTTTTTTTTTTTTGTAATTTTTCATCCATTTTTTTTGTTTTTTTTTTTTTTTTTTGTTTTACTTACCTCACATTCTCGTGCTTCTGTATGTAAATTCTATGAAATTGCCCGGCAACCGGTGACAATATATCATTTTTCATTTGCATTGCAACATGCTGAGGTAGTACCGACAACAAAAGTCTCTCCAGTTTCTCGTTTTCATCCTGAATTTCTAGACGGGCGGCAATGCAATTTCGTGTATCCAAAAATGCACGACGCTGTGCACGTTCCATCATGATATTAACGACTAGACCGGCGACATTAACACCAATAAACATAACAATGTTGGCTATAAGCTGTAAAGACAAATGGCAAAAAAAACGAAAATTAATTATTGTTGTGTGAGCAATGACAAATATTGTTGTAAAACAATGCGTATGATTTATATTGTTCGTCGGAGTTCAGATAATACTCATACGCCTGAAATGTGTTTTTATTTTGTCACATCGCGATAATACTGAATAGAGACGATTTAGCATTTTTTCTTTGATTAATGAAAAGTTCAGCGGAATCCCGAACAAATTTGTTGCAACAACAAAAACAAATAAAATAATAATAATAACTACAGGAAAAACTCAGTGGATTCTTAAAATAGAACTAAACTATGGACTATTCTATATAAAAGGGACAACATGTCCTCCCTCTTCCATATGTAGGAATTTATTATTATTTTTAGGAGTTAATAAAACTCCGTATTTTTAAAAAACAAAAACATCACTCAAGAAGGATGACGCCAAAGACAAGAATATTCTTTATCAAGCTTATATGTAAGTCACCAAAGAAAGAAGATCTTCACTGAATAAAAAAAGAATTGCCCAAAAAATAGTTTGCTAGGACTAAAGTCGGGCGGGGCCCACAATTTGATACTCCACAACAACACCACAATTTTCCGTAAAGTTTCTACAGATCTGAAACTCTTTTGACTAGAATGAAGATTCCTCTAACAAAAATCCCAGTATCTACTATATAATAAAAGCAAATGTTCAACCTTATTGATCTCCATTCAAATAATCATCAGAGATCTGAAACAAATAATTCTAAAGACATATGACATCTGAAAAATTTTGGCATTTGACGAAACAGATGTTTCAACCTAAAGAACGAAACCAGCCTTCGAATTTCAACCTCAGATATCAACAGTTATAAAATATCAACAGCACCAACACTTACATCTTTAACAAAATTTAGGATTTTAGATCTCTTCCGTCACCCAATACCAAATTTAGTATTATTTAGTTCTTTTCGTACAATTATAGTATACATTTCCAAAACTACCGCCATATCTTAATTCCAGATAACAACAGATTTCTCAATATAAAATTTGAGAATTCCAACTCTATCCTTTCCAATACCAAATTTAGTACAATTAACTACCTTTCGTACGTAATACAGGACGCATTTCCAAACCACCGCCAAATCTTAAATAGATTTATCATCAGAAATCTCAATACCAAATTTCAGAATTTTATCTTTATTCTTTCCCCCAATACCAAATTTAGTACCATTTAGTACTTTTCGTACATTATACAAATTTACAAACCACCATCAAATATAAGAATCTATAATCTAAATATCAAATTTCAGAATTTTATCTCTATCCCTTCACCCAATACCAAATTAAGTACTATTTAGTACTTTTCATACAATTATAGTACATACTTTTCGTACATAATATAGGACAAATTTACAAACCACCACTAAATCCAATCCAAATATCAAATTTCAGAATTTTATCTATCCTATATCTTCACCCAATGCCAATCATGCATCTCTATGTCCAGACTTCACATGAACAGCGAGACTAATACCAAATTTCAGATATCAAGCAATATCTGTTTACCCACACATAACAATATCAATTGATACCATTTAAGAAGTTTAGTATCATTTTGGAACTTTTCATAACTTTAAGGTTCGAATTTCCACAATTTTTTTGGTACATCTATCCTACACACGATCAGTGACTCTCATTCCAAACCTCAGAATTCTAGCTCAATTCCTTTGTCCAAGCAAAGCATTAAATTTTAGGTGCATTTATGTACCTTACCAGACTTTTTGTGCTTTTAAATGTATAATTCTTTGAAGTAGAGAAGCAAGGGGGCCGATATTGTCCATTTGCGTAGAGGACCTCCGAGACAAGTATATCGATTTGCCAATATTGAATTTTCAAAAAGGTGCATGGGTTTTTGCAGCTGCTAGTAAAATCCATATACTGAATTCCCCAGACCTTTCCATGCGGAACCAAATGGGGAACGGAAGTAAAGTAGAATATTTCAAAGTTTGTAAATACCTTGAGAATATTATAAGATGCTGGTATAAGTGGAGATGGTGGTCTCTTTAATAATTTTGAACTTTTTTGATTATATATGAGCGATTGTGAAATTTAGAAGAAATGTCATAAAAATAATATCCTATGTTCCTTTCGCTACAATGGAATTGCTATCTCTCCAATGAAATTATACCCTACACCACATGGTGGTAAGGGTATTATGACTTTGTGCAATTAATGGAGAAGGAAGCGAGATATGGGTCTATCTTAAATAATTATTAATTTTTGAGAATGTTCATAGAATCACTTTCTGAGCCGATTCATGCATGCCAGCCCAACTGTCCGTCCGTATGTCTGTCCATGCATTTTTGTGAACAAAATACACTGCAATGCAAAATGCAATGGAATTTATTATCCGATTGAGAAGAAATTTTCCAAAGAAATTTTGTTTGGCCCAAGGACAAACCCTATTGAAATTGGTGAGAATCATTTATATCATCAACCGATTTAGGGAAAATTGTGCCCCAAATGGTCAATATCAGTTCAAGTCATCTGAATTTTAGCACATGCGACCAATTTCAGTATGGAAGCAAGTACATCAAATTTGCTGAAAATCAGTATAGCTCTCATATATATGTTTCATTCGATTTGGTGTTTAAATCCCTCACACTCGTAGTATGTTCTCCACAAGAATGATGTTTGGTATCAGATATCAGATACAGCCCAGAAATACCTCTGCCAAATTTTATCAAGATCGATTCAAATTTGGACATAGCTCCCATATATATTTTTAACCGATTTCGGGTTAATTGCGAATTTTGACACATCCAATCGAATTCAGTCTAGAAGCAAGTAGATCAAATATGGTGAAAATCGGTAAAGATATAGTTATAGCTCCCAAATATATGTTTCATCCAATTTAGTCCTTAAGTTCACCACATTCGTAATATGAACTCCACAACAAGGATATTTGGTACCAAATATCATATAGGGCTCGGAAATACCTTAGTCGACTTTTATCAAGATCGGCTCAGATTTGTATATAGTTCCCATATATATATTTAATCCGATTTCAGGTTTATTGTGCAAATAATGGCTAATATCAACCCAAATGACTTTTCCGTACTGGTTTTCAAATAACTTCTGAGAAGAATATCTCCAATAAAAAGGATGTTGACGTGGCTCTTTCCAAAACCCTTTTTTCTCCACTAATATATAATCATTGTTTATACCCCTGTAAAAATTTATTTTAATTTGACATTCTCTAGTTTTAACATTAATAAATAAAACTTCTATTTTTGTCTCGTACATTGGTGCGTATGAATATTATATTAAAATAGATATTTAATTAACATCGCTCATACGTCCAAATGGCTAATCAGAAACAACATTCAACCACAGCTGTCTGTCAGCAGTAATTGCCTCATGACAGCTGACCTTTGCTAGGCGAAGGCTAAATCGCTTGATTAAATAAATAAAGCGACAGGGTGCAAGAAGAAGAAGAAGAAGGAAATGTTAACATTTCCTGGTGGTTACACATATATTTAGATTTCCGGACATACATATGTAGAGAAATATGTATAGATATATAAATACAAGTGCCTCAATATTTTGTGTGTATTTACTTGTCCTCCATGTCAATTGAAGAAAAATTGTCCCTGAAAATGTACATACATTGCAGTAGACACACAGGCCTGGTCAATGGGCTTTTTATGTTAATTTATTTTTTAAAGCCTCCCAGTCTGTTTGTCTTTATCCTTCAGCCAGACAGACATGTGTTTGACTGCACTTGGCCAACCACTAAATTTAATAACCATTCGGGCATTTCAATTCAATTTATATGCAATTATTTATAAAACAAAATTCTCTTTAGCCTGACCAGACATTTACAACGTCTATCATCCAACGAACAAAATAGCCATGCAGCTGGCCATTCAGCCAGCCAGCCAGCCAGCCAAACAGATCTTTTTGGTTGCACTTACCTGATTATATTCCAAATAACGAAATGCATCTGTAAATATTTTATAGACAGTTAAACTGATGTGCACCAGGGGTAGTGTAATGCCAAAGCAAACAGCTTCCCAGATTTGCAATGGCATCATGGCATAAGCCAAAAAGACCACAAAGACGATTTGCCATACACCTTCGGCCATGACCTGTTGGGAGAAACACGAAAAGAAGAAAATGTAAAAGAAATGAAATGTAAATCTCGGAAATTATTAAAATCAACAGGGGATATATCTAGTTGAAATGAAATCAAATCGAAATGTAAAGCTATTACTTGACTATGATTAAGTTCTAGGAAAAAACTAAGCCATGAGAGTGAAAAAGCTACATATTTCTAACCACAAATTTTTGAAAAATCAAGATTAAGCCAACATGAGGATTCTGAACGGATTCTGATCGTTATTATTTTCTTAAAGAAAACTTATTACTCTCTTAATTATATTTCCATACTCATACTGCACAGGGGATTTGACAATAAATAATTCCATATGACTCCACCATAGTATGAAGGGTATATTAAGTTTGTCATTCCGTTTGTAACACCTCGAAATATGCATTTTAGACCCCACAAAGTATATATTCCTGATCAGCATAAAATTCGATGTCGATTTAGCGATGTCCCTCCGTCTGTCCGTCTGTGGAAATCACTCTAGGTTCCGAACGAATTAAAGTAGATTGATAAATTTTACTCGAATGTATATTATGTCTGCAGTACTTTTAGTATTGAAAATAGGCCGTGTAGGTCCACGTTGTGGTAGAGCCCCCATATAACGGTTCCTCCCGATATTCGGTATTTTAATAATTTTAGCGACATTTTCACCAGAATTGTTTCAAATTTGGTATTTGAAGCTCGTAATGGATACTACAGCCTATAAGGGAAAATTATCTGTGCAGGTCCACGTCTTCGTATAGCCCGATATCCGGTATTTTGATGATTTTAGCGAATTTATTCACCGGAATTGTTTCAAATTTGGTATTTGAAGTTCGTTATGGATACTACAGCCTAAGACAAAAAATTTTCTGTGCAGGTCCACGTCTTCGTAGAGCCCCCCTCCCGATATTCGACATTTTAATGATTTCAGCAACATTTTCACCGGAATTGTTTCAAATTTGGTATGTGAAGTTCGTAATGGATACTGCAGTCTAAGACAGAAAATTGTCTGTGCAGGTCCACGATATCGTATATCCCCCATATAACGGTACATCCCTATATTTGGTATTTTTATGATTTTAGCTACATTTTTCAATGGAATTGTTGAAAAAATCAATATTAGAAGTTATTTTTGAGTATTGTTTCCCCTGTATGGGTCCACGTACGATGCCCCCCCCCCAACATTCGGCATTCTGACGATTTAAGGTACAATATTCACCGAAAATGTTTGAAATTTCCTATTGAATAGAATAATAGGTACTACAGCCTCTGACAGAAAATTGTCTATGGTGGTCCAGCTCTTGGTATAGTCGCGACATAACGTTACCTTCCAATATTCGGTATTTTGATGATTTTAGTTTACATTACATTATTCACCGGATTTGTTTCAAATTCCGTATTTAGAGTTCGTAATGGGAACTACAGTCTATGTCAGATAATTGTCAATGCATGTCCAATTCTTCGTATAGGCCCTATATGTCAGCACCTTCCTACATTCGGCATTCTGACAATTTAAGGTACAATATTCACCGAAATTGTTTGAAATTTCGTATTTAAAGTTCCTAATAGGTACTACAGGGTTTTCCATATTCGACGGACCCATCTGGCAACGCCATAACTTTTGACAGAGATGTCACATCGCTTAATGACATACCGCGTTTAAAGCGGCAGTCCAAGCAGATTTTTACCATGAGCCAATACACGCGAGCGCTCTGAAATGTCCATTCAACAGAAGAATTCAATTGTGAAAACTCAACGTACTTTTAAAACATTAAAAAATGTGAGAAGTGCGCCTTCTAAGAACACCATTAAGCGTTTATACGAAAAATTTTCGACTGCTAAGGCTCTTTCTAATCCGAAGAGGCCATATAAAAGTCGACCAAGGCGATCGGCCGAGAATATCGCTGCCGTACGAGCCAGTGTTGAGAGGTCCCCAAGAACATCCCAAAAACGCCGTTCTCAGCAGTTGGGCATGGCTCGGTCCACGTTACAACGGATTATTCGCATTGATTTGCATTTGTTCCCGTACAAAATTCAATTGACACAAAGAATGTGGCCTGCGGACAAGCCTCGTCGATTGGAATGGGCCCAAAGAGTCATGGGTCCGTCGAATATGGGCAACCCTGTACAGTCTGTGACAGAAAACTGTCTGTCTTTGTATAGCCCCGATATAACGGTACCTCCCAATGTTCGGTATTTTGACGATTCTAGCGATTTTTTTAAGTTTCGCTTAATTTCGCTTAGCTTATGGCAAATGTTACCTATACAGGTTCATGTCGTCCTATAGACCCTAATATAACAGATACATTCGGTATTTTTAAGATTTTAAATGCACTTTTAACGGATTGTATTGTTTTTGTTTCAAATGGAGGAGGGTATTCAGAGTTCGGTCCGGCCGTACTTACAGATTTTTTACTTCTTTTTATATTTTAATATTTTTTTTTTAAATTTTTAGTTATTGCTCTTTTGATACAACTCTTATTTCTCTTTTTGCACAGTGTTGTTTTGTAGAATTTATGTTAAATAATGACCTCTGATATAATTGTATTGTTGACGATGTTTCTACCGAACGAAACTATCTTCTCTACGTGATAATGATCTACATGGCCAGTGCGATATTTTATTTGCATTTTACCATAAATAATTGATATTTAATTACTCTCTCATTAAAAAAAAAAAAAAAACAACTACAATCAATAAAGGCTTTAATAGTACTTTATGTGCCTCGACGTTTTTTGTTCTACATTTTTCAATTTATTACCTCGGTTGCATCCTTTATGTAGGTTAAAATAATTGTGTTACAAAAAGAATAATTTGAATATGTAATTAATTAAAAAAAAAGATTTAATTAATTACTGAAGTTAAGTGATGACGTGAATGAATATTGTACAACATATGTATGTATATGCATATTATGGGTTACATATTCCTAGTGTTAGTGTAAAGTATTGTAAAGTTCGTTGTCAAAATTGCGAGATAATATGGAAATAATGTTGAATTGTTATTTATTTATGAATAAATATCAAAATTTTGTTTTTTATATCCTCAGCTAAGTGGCTAGAGACAGTATATATCATTTAATATGGCCAAAACGTGCCTTATCGAAATAACGATTGAAAAATGAGAAAGGAAAGACAGAATCTGACGGTGCAAATGCTTTTCCAATTCTCGTTTTATTTTTAAAATATGTTCCTTATGTACTACTGAAACTAATCTAACTTAACCTAGTTGCAGCCACACAATTGTTCATATTTTTATTACATGGCTGCTTGTCCCTTCATTCAAGTGGTCTTGGCTACCTACTGGCGCATCGATATCTGTGTGTGTGGGTCACTGAATTCTACATCTGTGATATTTTATCGCAGCTGCGAAACTGATATTTTGGAATCTTCATTTTTGATTGTTAGAATTTCCCAGCGCCTCAACCGCACTCAAAAGTATATACAAAGTATTTTGTACAACGGTTTTAGACCCCAGGTCTCTTTGCGCCAAATCCGTTTCAGGACATTTGGAGTCGATCTAGCGATGTCCGCACGATAACTCTCGAATGGAGTACCCGATTTGGTCTAAACTTGGTACATCGCAATATTGTTATCAAACTTAGATCGAGTTAGAAGATGGACAATATCGGTCCACTCCTTCTGGTACCTCACCCACAAAAAGCCGACATTTTTAAAGAAAATATTTCTTTGCATAGAGAGAGGAAAGATTATCCTATTTTGCTCAAATTTTGTCCGAATTTTTGCATTAGTTCTAGGTCAGGTTCGAAAATGAACAATATCGGTCTACTCCGTCAAGTACATCCGACACAAAATCAAAATTTTGAAGCTCATAATACGCGAAATTGACGTTCGATTCCACTGGATCTGTTACAAAGATGGTACAGATCGAACTATTCCTTCTGGTACCTCCCCCACAAAAGGTAAAGGTAAGTTTTAAATAAGCTTTATAAAATCCGAAATAAGTATCCTGTTCTCTTCAAATTTCACACATCCCATTATTTCTACTAACACAAAATGTACTTTGAAGATGGAATATATCTGTCCACTCCTTCTGGCGCCTCCCCTACAAAGGGTCACAATTTTGAGCACCCATAAAGCTCATAACACGGAATGTCCGATTCCATTCGGATTTGGCGTATCTCAATATTTCTATCAACACAATAAAGATGGTAGAGAGGACCATTTGTTATGGCACCTCTCCCACAAAGGGTCAAAGTTTTGAATAAGCAAAACGATAATAAAATCCGAAATAAGTATACTGTTCTCTTCATACAAAAAATTTTCCATAGGTGGAGGTTATCAAAAGTTCGTCCCAGCCGAACTTAATGTTTTTTATTTGTATTTTTGTCATATGGCATCCTATTCATGGAAAGATATTCCTTTCCTTTCATGGGACAAATAGGCTCAGTAGTATATGAAGCCTCCTTATTTTCAAACAAAGTGATTGTAATTATTGTGCGCCATACAAACAATTTAAATATCGGTCCATATTTCACCATAAGCCCTATGAAACGTCGTAATGTTCGATTCTGGTTGATTTTTAAGTTTCCAGCCTTATTTTTCACTAACATTACCTATTATTTCATATTTAGAAATATTAATTCATCACAAGATATTCTGAATAAAATGCATGTTTGCAATTCAATATATAAGTTTTTTAAAAAGTCCTGCCGAATATTAAAGTTTTTAGGTTCTACTAAATTTCCAGCTACCTTCGTGTCAAAAGATGACTTCCCATTTCATGTTAACATTTAAAGCTTTCAATTTTAACGCCAAACAAAAAAAAAAATGGAAACTATAGCTAAAAAGCTAAACACTGCCAAAAAATCAAACATCAGAAAAATGCCTTTGACCCAAAAACAAGTAGTTGAAAACTTACCTCCTTGGTGTCAACCGGAAATATGGAACCCAATGTCGGCATCGAAACAAAACAAATGGCAGCAGTAAATAATAGAATGCCATAGCAAAGGCAGGGTAAATGATGATCCTTGATCACGCGACATTGCAACAAAATTAAAATTATGGCAAATAGGAGGCACACAAATGAATTGAAGACATTCTGGAAATGGAGAAGAAAAAAAAGAACAAGACATATATTTGGTGGCACTTGCTTATAATTCAGAAATCAGAGTGACAGACAACTCTCCTAAAAGAAAAAGAAAGAAAAGAAACCACTTACATGAAATGTTGCAGTGTAATTGTAGACAAAGGATAAGGCGGCCATTACACCACATAGCACCACAACCAGGGCCACCACTCCCAGCACCGAAAACCTCTGCAATTTGAGTGTGTAACGTTGATAGAGACATTCCAGTTCATCGTTTTCGAAACGCAGTGTATTCCAAGGACGACCACGTGTAGCTTTCACAGCATGATCCATGACGATAACTCCGGATGACTGATGACAAGATGATTTATGATGTGTATGTGTGTGAGTGTTAGTAATAATATTTTACAGCTTTGATAGTTGGAGAGTGTTGAGAAACTTAAGAAACAAAAGTTGAAATTAAGAATGAAGCCCAACCAACCACCACCGCCTTTGAGGGGCGGTTATTTAAGCGGCGAAAGCCAAAACTTTAAAGTTTTGCTGCAATTCCTCCAACAAGAAGACCATTAAATCTGCAATGAAAGAGAGAGCGAAAGGGAAATATGTTTTAAAGTTTGAATTATTTTTTACAGATTAAATAAATTTATGAATATTTAATACATGTGTGTTATTATTTAGCCACTAGGTGGTATTTTTCCTTCATTTTATATTAAATAAAAAATTCATATCCTGAAGAAATCCCTCATTCTTCTTTTTCTTCATTTTCTTAGGCTATGCCAAAGGGAATTTTCCAAGTTTTTTTCTCCAAATATATCTGCAATAGTTTTGTGGAATATATTTAAGCATAAGACCAGGTAAGTCAAACCGTACGGCACGAGAAGAGAAGAAATACATTTTTAACAGGATAATCAAAATATAGGTAAAACAAGTAAAAAAGCAGATAACTTCCGGGTCCAACGTTAAATACCCTCCACCATTTGGATAGTAACGTTTTTATACCCTCAACCATACTATGGAGGGTATATTAACTTTGTCATTCCGTTTGTAACTCCTCGAAATACTCATGTCACACCCAACAAAGTATATATATTCTTGATCTGTGTAAAATTCTAAGACGATTTAGGCATGTCCGTCTGCCTGTCTGTCTGTTGTAATCACGCTATCTTTCTATTGAATTGAGATAGATGGCTAAAATTTTGCACACATATTTAGTTTTCCAGTATGCAGGTTAAGTTCGTAAATGTAGGTCCACGTTTTCATATAGCCCCCATATAACGGCACCTCCCGATATTCGGTATTTTAATGAATTTAGCGACATTATTCACCGGAATTGTTTCAAATTTGGTATTTGAAGTTCGAATTGGATACTACACCCTAAGACAGAAAATTGTCTGTGCAAGTCCACGTCTTCATATAGCCTCCATATAACGGTACCTCCCGATATTCGGTATTTTGATGATTTTAGCGACATTATTCACCGGAATTGTTTCAAATTTGGTATTTGAAGTTCGTAATGGATGCTACAGCCTGTGACGGAAAATTGTCTATGCAGGTCCAGGTCTTCGCACAGCTCCGATAGAACGGTACCTCCCTATATACGATATTTTGATGATTTTAGCAACATTATTCACCGTTTATTTCAAGTTTCGAATTTGAATATGGTAATGGCTTTTGACAAACAATGTCTATGTAGGCCCACATCGTATACACCTCAATATAACGGCTATATTTGGTATTTTTAAAATTTTAACAGAATGTTTTAATGATTCTATTTTCTGAAAATTTCCAAATTCGTTCCAAATGGTGGAGAGTATTCAAAGTTTGGCCCGCCCGAACTTGCTACTTTTTAACTTGTTGAATATGTCTCTGTTTCTGCCAGAGAACATGGTTCTCTTAAGAACTTAGCAAACAAAATTTATATAATAATATTAAAAAAGTGAAAAAGGAGCTATATTCGGCCGGGCAAACTTTTAATACCTCCACCATTTTGAAAGATCTTGAATAATTAAAAAAAAAATCCATGGAAAGATATGGCTACAAACATCATAATACCAAATATCGGGAGGTACCGTTATATGGTGGATATACGATATAATCGTAAATCGTAAATCGATCGTGGACGTATATGGACAATTATCTTCCAGGGGGTAAAGTACTCAGAAGCAACTCATAGAGTGGATTTTCAGACAATTCCATTGAAAAATATTGTTAATATCATCAAAACACCGAATATTGGGAGGTACCGTTATATGGGGAATATTCGATATCGTGGACCTAGAAAATTCTCTTCCAGGGGGGAAACTTCTCAGTTTTTTGAGGTAATTCCATTGAAAAATATAGCTACAATCACCAAAATGCCGGATATCGGGAAGTAAGTTTTTTTTTTTGGGATATACAATATCGTGGACTTATATAGACAATTCTCTTACAGGAGGTGAAGTACCCACAAGGAACTCCTTGTGTAGAATTTCAAACAATTAAATTGAAAAATAAGCTAAAATCGTCAAAATATCAAAAAATGGGAGGTACCGTTAATGGGGGCCATGCGATATCGTGGACTATGCATGTTTTGCAGATGTTCCGTGACAAACCACTTATATTGGGAATTTATGTGAAGCAGATCACACCAACTATGAAAATTATTTGAATTTTGGTTCCATAGGAAACTAATATATAGGACGTATATCACAATCCGAATCGATTTTTACCAAATTTGAGGGAGGCATTTTTACCTCTCTTACCAAATAACATTGCTAGAGAGTAAGTGATATCACCTCGAAAAGGATCATCTATTTAAAAATATATCGGAGCTATATAAAAATCTGAACCGATCTCGATAGAATTTGGAAGAGGTATTTTCGAGCAGTGTCTGATGCCCAGTATCAAATATAATTGTTTTGGAATACATATTACGCATGTGAGGAACTTTAACACCAAATCGGATGAAACATATATATGGGAGCTATAGCTATATCTGAACCGATTTTCACCAAAATTTCAAGCACTTGCTTTTAGGCTGAATTCCGTCGGAAATGTCAAAATGCATTACATTTGGGTTGATATTTACCATTTGATGTACAACAAACCTGATATCGGATAAAAATATATATAGGGAAGCTATATCCAAATCTGATCCGATCTTGATAAAATTTGACGCAGTTGGTGTTGAGTTCCATGAGTTGTCTGGTACCAAATATCATTCTTGTGGAGTGCATATTACGCATGTGTGGGTCTTTAAACAGCAAATCGGATGAAACATATATATGGAAGCTATAGCTCTTTCTGAACCGATATCTACATCCGAACCAAATTCTATGTACGTGCTTCTAGACTAAATTCGGTCGGATGTGCATACATTCAGTTCATTTGGGCTGATATTGGCCATTTGGTACACAATTAATCCGAAATTCGTCCTTGGGCCAAACAATTATTGTTTGGAAAACTTCATCTCAATCGGATAACAAATGCGACCTTCGGTTTGATCACAGAAATACATGGACAGACGGAGGGTGGAGGGACAGACGTACTGATATACATAAATCGATTCAGAAAATTATTCTAAGAAGATCCTCAAAAGTAACTATGGATCTATCCCGCTCCCTTCTCCATGTTTCAAACAAATGTGATACACGTCCTCGATACTACAAAGATATCGATATTTATGCGAACGAATGCATGTGTCTGGATTATTTTAGAAAATATGTGGAAGGCTGATCTCCTATCTCATAAAAGCTGTAGCATTCTTCAATGAGAGAAATATTGAAATCAACGGCCATATTATTTTCATCCACCAATTGCAATCGAAAATGCTGTAATTGGACATTTTCGAGTTGAGTTCTCATTGAATAAAACTTCCACTACGGAAATTGTTCAATACAGGTCTATGTTCTTCATTGGACATTAAATTTGGATGTGTGTCCATGGTTTGGAGTAGTACCCATATATAGTTACCTCTTGATTTTTTTTTTTCGATCGAATTGTCTGAAGATTTCCGCAGCTCGTCATGTGCTGTCATTGCATGGGTCTGATCGATACTATTCTATGATGCTTTCAGACATATCAAAAAGACTGCAAGAAGAACAAAGTCTCTTGTAAAATAGGGCCCGCAATGTAACTAGTTTTCCACTAGTGTTTTGTAATTTGTTTATCCTTCCGAATACGGTTGTGTATACGCTTCAACAACCCTGGGACATATTGCGACATTACATTGAAAATCATGGTAATGTTGCAGAATGTGTACGAAAATTGCGTACGGATTCAGGTTGAAGAGAAGCACCGTCTGTTTCGTATGTAAGCAAGCTTGTCGCATTTGGGGCACAGAAAACCCGCAAGCATACATTGAAAAACCAATACACTCAAAACTAGTAACTATTTGTTGCGGATTTTGGTTAAAAGGCATAATTCGGCTTTTTAGTTGAAAATGAGCAAGGAGGTGGCCGTTACATTATCGGGTCATGTTGAACCAATTTTTGTTCACAAAAATTTCAGAAATTGATGTTGGCAACATTTTGTTTCAAAATGACGGTGCTATGTGCCACACAGAAAAAATTTTTGGCGGACCCTATATTTTTATCAACACTGCTGACATGGTTGGACATTTAGAAATCTTACAGTTAAAACTATGCTCCGAAACACCATCACTTCATTTTCTTCTATTTTTTTTTTCTTTTTTTAAATCACAGGAAAAACCCACTTGTCTTTCAATGTTCAAAATCCGACAGCTGGTAAAGGAAAAATCTCCGCAGTTTTAAACATTTGTTTACATTTTTAATTTTCCTTTCTTTCGCTCGATGCTGGAAAGTCGAAGAGCAAAAAAGTAAAGTTTGTCATTCGCGGATGTGGAAGTTGTAAAAGGGAAGTAACAACTTAACGAAGATGCTGCAAATGGTGTCAGGGCGCATACAGAAAAAAAATAACACCTCATTCAACCCACCAACAACATCTTGCAGCGGAAAATAAGAAAACCCACATCAGTAGTTTGTAACATTCGAAGTGGAAAGGAAAATGAAATGGGATTTCATTTTTTGTTTTCGGTTCTGTGTCCCAAAGAAATCTTTTCACAGTTAAAGTAAAGAAATTACTTTTATGTTTTTTTGTTGATTTTCTTTTTTGCCCCCAAAGGAAAATAAGAAAATAACTTTTTTTGGGGGTATTGGATGTTGGAAGTTTGAGTTCGTAGTCTTTCAATTTCATTTTTGTTGCTCCACTACAAAGGAGGTGTAGGGAAGAAAACAATCTTTCGGAAGAGGGAATATTTTGTTTGAGAAAAATATGTTCTGATTGTGATCATCGGTTTATTTTACGGGAAACGTTAAGGAATCATCGAGATAAAAAGGTACGGATTTTTGAAATTATTTAAGGTGTTCGTAGATCTCATAAAACCCTGCCGAGATTATTAGAAATTTACTATCAATTTTTCCGTAAATTATTTTGAGTTTATTAATTAAAAATGTCAATAAATAACGTGGTGTAACAATATCTTCAATGTAGAAATTACTTTCGGGATGAAAGGTCTTTGTTTCGGGGATGAAGGTTTGAAAGCGTAAGAGGAGTTAAATTTGGCAGCGGTGAA